AATTCAGGGTTAATCGTCAATTTCCTATCAATTCTGATGGTTCAAATGAGCGAATCAGTTATTGAAAGTTGTTTACAGAAAGCAACTTATCAGCTGTAAACAAATGAACACCTTCAATGGCAGGAAGCCTAACCTCACATATCGTTAAAAAGATGTGCCCTTTCGGTGCAAACAAATTTACCAACTTAAATGGTGAAGTTGATAAATTCGTTCATCGATAAAGTACGTGATAATTGGTCAAATTTGATACGTTGTCCGGTGTACCCGTCCAAAGCCTTCTGCACAATACATTCTTGTTTTTGAACTCATCTGAGTTACAATTGCTGCTGCTACTGCCCCACGATGGACCTAATCAGTCCACATTTGATGATTATTTAGTCACGGTCAGTCCAGATTTCGATGATGCTTTCATGTAGTGATCTCGCACTGTTCTATTTTCTCTGATTTGATGGTTTTGAGGTATGTCTTTTATCATATATAAACTTGTTACGCATCAGTGGTCAGTTGAGAAAAAAATTCGCGCCGCAAGTCATCAGCTGCTTGGGGTTATTTCGGTCAATCCGAGAGGCTATCAGTTGTATGCCATTCGAAGAACCCACATAAATTTGGGTATTCCTTGCCCGATTTGTTGGGACGCACCAGCTTTTGCTAACATGTGTTCACTCCAAAGGATGCCGTTAGGATATTAAACTGTCGAACTTCTTGATTAAAATTTGTAACCACTTCCCGTAAGCGAGCCATGACTCAGATTTTCGAAAACAGCGGTTGGTATGGTGTTCAGATCACGGATGAGGTGGATAAACTCGAGTCCGATGCCTATCGAGTATGGTTGGTTAGTTGGAAGAATTCAGGGTTTTATGTGAGTAAAAAGGGAATCTGAAGGATGATAAATCACAAATGAAAATCACGTGTTCCACAGTACTAATCGTGAGTAATTTTGAGTGAAATACAATAGGGAAAACTCCGTGGAAACTCCGTATTTTGCGAGTTGAAGTAGGCAGGGCCGTAGAAGCTCACCATTACACACTCAAGTATACAAATTCCAAACTACATTGGTTGAAATGGTGAGTTAATTAAAAACTATATGGCGAATCCTGCGAATCAACTTTTAACAGAATAAAACAATTTTATTTTATCCTTAGCCCCTGTTCTCTTGACTTTCATTACACATGACTATAATCAATTCATCATCGATCAGAATGACGTTGATCATTACCACTCCGAGAGAGTCAGCTGCAGGTTTCTCTCTGTCGTGGTAACTATGGCCTAAATTAATTATAACCCCCGAAAGGAATGTCGATTCAATCATTCCAGTGTGGACCTTGTTTTCCTCGGTGAGCCAAACAAACTGCGTTTGTTTTTCAAATCCTGCACACTACTTTTTTCCATTTCGATTCATTTCTTTCTGATTCGATCTTGATTAGCATTTTTCAGATGTTCCTCCGAGCTGGCTGTCTGTTTGGCGTTGCTCGAATGCAGGCACAAGCAGTCTCTCCCCAAATCTGGCACACAATACGGTGTGTTCATTCAGTAGTTTACAAGTTCAGATTTTGGGAATACCATAAATGATCACTGATGATGTCACCTCGGCTGATGATGAAATGTTTACAATCAAATTGCTAAAACTCGGCGAACAGACGAAATATGAATTCAGTTCATCCGAGCTACCTTGTCAACGGTTGAGTTTGTATCCCGTAGGTTAGGTGTCTGTCAGACTGAGTATTAAATACCAAACATGTGCGAATGGGAGTGCAAGATTTCGCAGACGAACAACACTTCCAGCTCGGAGAACAGATCAGCACCAACATCCGCACATCCTGAGCTCCAATCATTCCACATTGTTTTCAATTTCGATTCTATATGTAAACAGCACACGTCCGGTGAGAGAACGAAATGGATGTCATGTCGTGAACCAAAGTGACCTCACCGAGCATTTCTGCCCAATGGGATGAAACACGGGAGTGAACCATTATCAAGTCCACAACCGTTTATGACGAGGGAACAGACAGTCACGCATAGTACACAGTAGAAGTACATACATACAACACAGGCGAGACAATGAAAGTGAGGAACAGGGAGGTTAAGGAATGAAACGGGGAACTTCGAAGGTGATTAAATGAGCAAGTCGGCGGGGGAATAAAAGGTTAAGTTAGCTTTCAGTATACCGCCATTTGTTTCTGTTCACAATGTGCAGAATTAAACCTCCTAATGACCACCGACACAACTGTTCTCATCATTTTTTCCTAATCAATAGATAATGCATCTCGCCGATGGATTCTGGACGTAGTTGACGATGACTGACTGAGCTGGTTTGCTGCTGGCGATTCCTGCACGAGATTTTTTCAACCCTTGGGTAGTGTGAATTTAACCTTCCGTCTGATGATTTTTACTGTGTTGAAACTGGGGTATATGTGTGAGCTGAAATATGCGTACTGATTTAAATCTTCATTCGGTTGTGTTTTGTACCCACAAATACGTTAAAAATCATCAATAGTTAGTGATTTGTTGGCAAGCGTTAACGGATCTTTTCCGGTAACTAAGCGTAACCGTTATCATTTCTTCCGAGAAGCATGGTTTTGCAACTTTGAATCTCCATGTAATCGAGGAAAACAGACCGGTGACTTTTGAACTTGATTTGGTCTTGAAATGTAAATCGTTTGACACAACCTTGTTGTTTGTTTCTCCTCCCGGGTCTAGGAGTTCGATGTTTCTCCAAAAGCCGAGATAAATAACCGCAACAGAACTTCCTCACTAACGATCTGTTTTGTTCCTTCAGAGAGAGAGAGGGAGCTCTGAAAAATTGTCTTTTTTAATTTATGGGTGAAATATTGAAATCTTCCCATAGTCCTGATCAAGATCCTAAGGGATAGATTCCTCTGGACAGAGAAGCAGCTGGGTACCTTCAAAACGAGATATATAAAAACAAAACGGCAATTGTTGATATATTCTTCCACCTCCATAGAAAAGTTGAGGTTTTCATGAAAGTTATGTAGTTCCTGATCAATCAATATATACTCCTGGTCATGAGAAACATGAGAAACACGTTGTTCATTTACGAAGCACTATGTTGTCCATTGCGACTACGGGGAGAAGGGATGGCGGTATCAAAAACAGGACCCACAGTATCTGTGTGAGCTGAGTGCCAATACTATGCAAACTATACTATGCTCAAACAATGAAGTCCCTCCACACAGTCCTCAAATACACGAACCTAGGACTACGAGCTCCGTGTGCTACCAAAAATCCTTAAAAGAGCCGGTGGTTTTGTAGATCAAAGTCTTACGGTTCATTACTAGCGGAAGGAGGTGAGTTTACTGAATTATAAATAACTCATTTCAGGTTATTGATTCGATTGAACTGTTGTGAACTTATTCCTAGCTCAATGATCAGTGATCAGTCTATAAAATGAGTTATCACAGGACGTAAAATTGCACGCTGACGTCGGCTACTGCAAAATAACAATTAGATGCGTCACGTAAATATTAATTTTAATTTGTTCCTTCTCATAAATTCTCAATATAATATAATCATAATTTCGTGGAACCTGAAATAAATTTCATACAAACAAACCGCCGAAGTTCCAAGGAACTAATGCAAAAAGTCAGGATATCGTTGGTTCATGAGTGACGGATTAAAACAGCTAAATAAGTAATCACCAACCAGTACGGCTCGCTCCGCGAAATCCGATCAAATACACTGTGAAAAATGTGCTAGCGGAATCCCTGGGTGGTTTCCAGCTGGCTGAAAACTTCTATCTACTGCTCACAAAAAATACAAACCACTTTTGAGCAAATTTTTATTCACAGTACCAAACCAATCTCATCGTTTTATTAGGGCATAATATGTATTCGGTTATCTCATTCAGCTCCGCTTAGCTGCTGATGTTCAAAACTTTAGTCACGGTTTTGTAATTTCGCGGGGTAACAAATTTGTTTACATTCACGTTCAGAATAGATGACGTACGCGTGGATTTTGTGACAAACGAGGGCAAAAAGATTCGTGATTCTTTAGGTTTTGTCTGAATCCGGTACGGGTCCACGTACGGATTTCGTTCGTGCGGCGGGAACGGATTGAAAGTGCCCGCGTAACATCCCCCGGGTGTTTTGGGCGGATTCGGTGGACGAAATATGATCGGATTTGGAGCCGCATTTCGCACCCGATTGCTCCCGATATCCGGCAGCGATCGGGTTTTCCCGGAAGATTTGTACGGGTTCGGTTCGAACAGTTCCACATGACCGGTAGTGATAAATTCCCGTCGACCGCCAAGTAATTGTCTGTGCTGTTCATTTTGTTCTTTGATCGGTGCCAGTGTATCCAAATAGGGTGATGATAAATACGGTGGAAATTTGTTGATCGTCACTCCCACATAGCCGTATCCGGTGCCCTTTTTCGGTGGACATCCNCAGTATGTTTCTACCACTTGGTGTGTGTTTCTCCTGTTCCACGGCACCGCTAAAATGGGGGATGTATCGAGAGAATGTGCCAAAATAAGTGCCCGATCCGTTGGGACATTTGGAACTGGGCGCGAGAAAAAAGGCCGGACCGACATTTTTACGGGCTGAGACAAGCTTTTCTTCCGAACGAAATTTGCGCAAGTTGTTCAACCCTTCACCAATAAATGAGCGCTGGAAATCGGAGAAATAGCCGTGATTTAGGCCACATTTTTCCCGAGCATATGTTCCAAACATTTGTCGTCCTTNGTCCTTTTATTCGATTGAAATTCACTTGCTGTTTTCCTGGATCTTTGTACGGATCACCAACGGATATATATGACATGTCACTAAAGTATCCCAGCCGATCGAAATCCGGCTTAGATTTGATCATTATGAATCAAGTCTGTAGAAATAAAACAAGACACGTTAGTAGAGTACATGAGAGAGCTGTACTATCCCAAAACCAATCACTTTATCTCAACGGAACCATTTTAATTAGAGTTGATAGAATTCAAGATTAATACACACAAGCTGCATAATCTATAGTTCGGTTACTGGGAGTACCCCCAAAAAGCAGTATCAACCGTTAGATCGTTTCTTTCCAACGAGAAAGGAAGTGCAGAAGACAGCGAAAAGTCAAGTTGGATACATACAATCCCATATCACAGACACCCGCCCAGGTAGCACAGCGTAGCGCATCCATCGGCTACAAGGAGCTACTCATGAGCTACTTCGGCTACATTTTTTATTCAACAGTAATTAATCTTTAAAAGGCATTTTTCATAACTCTCATCGGTTTGAAGACTCATTTGATAATAAATTCCATCAAATAACTCTTATTTTCGGTGTGTTAATTCCATGATTATGTGCGTTCTAATCAGTGCGGAAAATGTGTCGAAGTTCATGGTAAGATAGTAAATCCATATGAAAATATAGGGTTACTAGGGGATTTGGGAGAGGACCATTATCCGCCTTAAAGCGGAAAACTAAAAACAGAATGTTTTGCATTGTAGCTATCAGCGCGCTATTAGCCGACTAATGTGCTACTAATGCGCCACAATTTTGGTGCCATAGCTCATTTGTAGCTCAAATGTAGCCGGTTAGTAGCGCACTATTAGCCGACGACGTGCTCCGTGGGCGATTACGCGAGCACAAGTTTACCCGGTGGGGCACTCACCGACCCGAAGTCACAAATCTGGAAACACTGTGCATAAACAGATCAATAAATTTCGATTGTAGTAGTTGTTGAAGCGAAAAAAAGAGTATGTGGTTAATTCTCGAAGAATCACATGCAACATAGTTTGTCCAGTGGTAAGATCTTCAAAATAGTCACCTGGGGGTCCCGAGTTCAAACCCCGTCACCGCCGTCCATCTTCACCATTTCTGTATTGTGCGAGGCAGCACTTGTATGACCACCAGTGACTATCTTCCTTTACTTTTGTTGTACTTTCCCATGATCAATAAACCGAAAAAGGAAGTAAAACAGTTGTATAAAAACCACTCTTTCAACGGACACACCTATCAAGACAATCATCACCCAGCACGCTTGCAAGTCCCGATGCTATTGTTAGGATGACAGGCCATTGCATTCCTTCTTAACTAATTTACTTTTTGATCACGAGTTTCGGCTGGAATTGAGACGTAAAAATACACATTTTTAGGCCCCAATACTGTATGTAGGTAAATCAAATCAACTAAGTGCTTTATGTACCCCGAAGATCAGGAAAATTCATGGTGTTGTGAAGAGCGCAAGAAACCATCCAAACGACAAAGGTCGATTGATTAAATACGGGGGGGGCTAATGAAATGAATNGCTACATTTGTTGTTGCATGAAAATAGTGCTTTTTAGTAAAGTGTTAAGTTTGTCTTTGCCAGTTGTGAACCTTTAACCTTATGACCGAGAACGTGAGTGGATTGAACCGTTCCACCAAGGACAGTCTAATTAAAGGGACTCACTGTGCGATAGCGGTAGTGGATAATAGTTAATTTATGACTGATTTCTGTAACGATGTTTAAGAGTGCCGAGCAAACATGTATGTAGTAGACAGAAAAGTAAAGGCCTCAGTGTATGGTCGGGGTGGGTGTCTACTAGGGTTGCGGCTGGTCACCCTTCCCTTACACCTGGCGCGAAATGCTCCCATATGACCAAGAGTCTCAAATAGTCTCTGCTGAGGAAGTCCTACTCACTGCCTTATCGTGGCAGAGGTGTTTTCCAATTAAAGTGTGAGAACGAAAAGCCGACATCCGGGGCTATAACCGGGTTGGTGGACCACTGGTAGTTCAACTACAGGAGTTGGCCAAAAACCCTGATTCCAAACTAACCAAGAGGAGGCGTACGAACTACACACACACCTTTTCGGTTGTGGCAGTGGTTACCTGCTCGATAGAGCATTGAGGTGTATTGGGCACCTTGGACGTTTGACCCCGTCCGAAGGGCGAATGATCCGATAAACTGGACACTAGCCTGCAATGGATTGCGGTTTTCACACACCGCCCCGCTGCTTTGCGGGTCATGCTTTGACTAACCGAAGGCTCCGGTTGTGGATTACCAAAGAAAATTCACCTGCCTTGGACTGAGCAATCGGGAGTATCCCACCCACATGCAAATCATCGGACGTCTTTCTTTATATAGAGATTATTGTACCATGATTTGTTTGGCACACAGTCTAGATTTAGATTTCTGTGAAAATATATATGCTTATGATCCGATGAGGTTTTTGATGGTTTTGATCCAAACAGTAGAATATACCAAGCTTTCATCAAAACATGAAAGTTGGTGAAGAAGAACAAGAACAGAATGTTCGGAAAGTTCAATAATTTCGGTGAAGATGTGTGATACTGAAGAGGATTTTATCTTTAACAACAAAAGAGCAATTTCCAAGAAGGATTTGGTTCAATTTCCACGGTGTATTCATCGTGTATACATCAAACGAAGCGTGAACTGAAAACCTAGGAAGCACTGGACAGCTGTTTCGACCTGGTTGGATCTCTTCAACAGTGCGAATCCATCGATCCAACTTGGGATCGTACCCAGGACTTCACGGACAGAACGCAAGCATACTACCCACTACGCCACCGGGTAGCCGATCAGACCGCTTTTCATTTTCTATTTACGCGATATTGCACAACCCATCTTGGCGAGCATGTTGTGGGCCACAGACCCTGCACAACTCAGCACTAGCCTCGGTCGGAAAGATTCACAACCTGACTACTTATTTCAAGTTCATGCTTCGTTTGATATATACACGATGAATACACCTTGGAAATTGAACCAAATCCTCCATTACTCACTTGAAAACAGCAATTAATAGATTGCAATAAAATATGGTCGGCAATCAATGAGAACATTTGAATGTATAAGTTAGCCACATTTTCCCCGGTCATTACTCGGAATCACCAGAATTGATTTTTCTTGAGTAGAAATCATCTGAATTTTATGTTCATCGTCTCATTTGGGTTTAGAACCCTGAGACTCTTGCTCTAATGACTGCATGGAAGTCCTGTCTTGGTGGGGGGCTTTCGATTGGAGTTAACAGATTGTCGTCTGTGTCTCCCTTCGTTGCTGTCGGGTCAACTGAACTGACTATCACTGAAGACGACAGCTGAACAAAGAATGAATTGGCAATTGGGTTCAGCCATGGTATGAGCTGGTTGGCACAGTGGTAACGCACACGCTTTTCATGCGACGGGTCCGGACTTCAAATCCCATACCGGATGGTGGATATGCATTACTGATGAGCTCAATCTAATAAGAGCGAAACTCGAGTCTAGTGCTTCGGACTGTATGGTCAACTCGATGAACTGAGGATTGTGCGAAAAGGCGGAGTCCAAAAGTTAGTCAGTTCAAATCAATAAACATCAATTATCCCACATCACTACTCACAAAGTGACTGTGAGCTACATGCGAATGTACAATTGAAGTATGTTGCTTTGCATGTGTAGGGTTACCTGGGTCAACTGACATTTGTGCACGAAAATGAGATCTGAGTAGGAGTCTTTCAAAACCAAAATGAAATTATCTCGCAATATTATTCACGAATGCTCCTGGCAGTGAGGCTTTCATTAGATAGAGAATTTGACAAGACCATAAAAAGCATTCAAAGGTCACAGGATTAAGATATTGTAGTGTAGTGAAGACACGGGCGCAGCCATATTGATTTGATTGTGAGTCGTGTGCATGTCTTCTTGAATCTTTTGGTTCATGGTTGCTTTTTGTATTTTCCCTGTCTTGCAGGTCGTTTGGAAGCCCTCTCCACAGAGGACTTACTGTAACTGTAACTGTGTATTGAGTTCGTCATTGAATAGCCAGAGATCGTGCGGCCTTTTGTGAATACTCTAATTGTATAAGATCTCGGCCTGGGTTACCCGGACTCAATCTGTCAGTGTATTTCGAGGGGGATTCAGAACCGGGGTCGGTCCTGCATACTACAGTAGTACTGTATGCAAACCCTCGCCAACTTAGTGATCTGATGAGTTTGTCATGTTATTTCTCAGAATACTTTGAAGGATGAAGTAATTTGGTTGGTGGTGATGATCCGGTGATGAAGGTTACCCAATTATCACCCCAGAGGATGTGTGTTCGAATCCCACCACCACCTGACTTCCCTCATTATGTGTTGTTTGACTACCCTTTCATTAGTCACTCCCTACGCCCCCTCCCCCCCCCCACACACACACCTAATAATATCATCATACTAAATTCAATAGAAAGGAAATAAAAATATGACAGAAAAGAAAAGAATTCATATCACCCTGCTACGATACAAAGCGCCTGAAAGTTACCTTTTGTACAAACACAATCTGGCTTCTTCGGCATTGGGAAAAATCCATTTTTTACAATAAAATTGCTAAACGAGTTTGTACGCGTTCTGAAACGCAGTTAAAAATCGTCTCTAGTTTATGCAAAAATGGAATGCAACTTACAACTATTTTTCAGTTAGAAGGATGTCGGTGCTAATTAGCTGATTTACAATCACATGAAATAAGGCTTGACGAGCCAGTGTATCACTGAAGAGCAACTCAGAATCATTCAGTGGTGAATCGAGTTCGTAAACCATGATTAACTATAGAACGGCATTAAGACGACAGAACATAATCGATGCTTTGAGTAATACC